AGGTTACTACAATAATATCAAGTATAGTAGTAAAATTACAAAAGTATTGCCATTAACGGTGTTTACTACCAGTTCCAGAAATTTTCAAAGTAAAATAGTAACAAAGAGCAGGAAGCTTTTTGTGCAATATATCGCTATGTTGCATTCTTTAATAATCAAAATTTTCATCGCGAAAAGTAGCAATATTAAGATTAACAATAGGCTGGAAAAATTTTCCTGCCGAGAAAGTATGAATTATGTGACAGTGGGCGCTTAACAATCACCATTAGTGAAAAGTGAAGAAGATTAAGGAGGTGTGAAAGATTATCAAAAAGGATACCATACCAAAATTTCGTAATTAATGATTTACCCGCACTTGTTTTTAAGAGAGCAACTTTAGATAATGAGTCACATGCAGGTTTGTTTTTGTAGTGGACTTTGGGACAAATTTGTAATTTATGGAAAAGGAAAACGAGAGAGCGGAATTTTTAAAGATTTCTAAAATAAAGAAGAGATTGTAAAAAAAATGATTCGTTTCCTTAACTGTTTATAATGTAATTATTATTTTATTACATTGTTATACCATTTATTTTAGTGTGATTGAAAAAGCGAACTTACTACATTACTGCTTTATGTACTCTACTATTTGCCCCCTTTACGGCCCCGTAGGTTTTTTGAAACCAGCGTACAACAAATATGCGCTGTACATCGGCGCTCTGGGCAGCATTCCTATCGACATCGTTATTACAACAGCGCAGCTTCCGCATAACATAAATATAGGTATTCGCATTGTTAGGACTAGAACATTCTAACATTCTGAAAGAAGCTTACGAGCTAAGTCTAAGAACTACTAGAGAAGGATGCTGGATGAAAAGTATAACAGTCTCTATCGTCGCAAAAACTAGTTTTTTTACATCACTACCACTGACGCCATTTTTTCAGAGCTCACACAAAGAAATCACTGCTCTGACGTTTCTCTAACTCCGCCGAATTTTTCGCCTGAATCCGTTGTCAAACAGCCGGCTCCAAGTCCAAAACCGACTCCTTTTGGCCCGTATTTTCTTCCATGGCATTGTTTGCAGTACAGTTCAGCCTCATGTGGGGCTACTGTGCATGAATCCAACAATTTGTTGCACATATCTGAAAAGTGACATGCGTAGTGCGGAGTCGATGGGGAGAGGAAACCCGTTTAGATGATTTTGGTATTTGATGAAAGTTGATCTTCAGTTTGTATGAAGATCTAGAAACTGCTTCTTTGTTCACTGCCATTCCATTTAAAAGTGAGAGTGCTCTCTGTCCTAATAATCACGTAGTAGAAGGTTTAGAAATTGTACCAATTAATGCTCTTTATAGTTATAGTAATCCTTATACCATAGCTCTAGTCTCATAAAAACCAACACCACTACTTAGAATTTCTGATTTCATATATTTTTGTGTGGCGAACAGGGAAGCAGGCAAGCGCTTAAGGATAAATT